TGAGCCACCAGCGGTATATTTTGCGGCCCCCCTGTACCTGGTCATCATATATTGCTACATCCGGTTCATGCACCTCGATACTTTTCGGATGAAACTTACGCCTGCCATCACGTCAATGCAAAGGCGTACTGTACTGATAAGCAACAGCCTCACCGCCATCGCTTTTGCTCTCTCTTTCCAGCTCATGGTCATCGGCCCGATGCAGTCGGCCATGGGCCACTCTTGCGCTTTCATCGTCCTCATCATCGCCTTCTACTTCTATTACTTATCCAACTTCCTCGAGGTTGACGTGAAGTACCATCCGCAGGGCGTAGGGGTCTTCATCATCTTCTATGGCATCGCCGCGTTTGGCTTCAGCTTCTGCGCCCTCTACCAGCTCTTCGCCTTCGACCGCGAGACCTCGGAGCCTGGCCGCATCTCACCCAGACTCATCCAGCTTCTCGACTACTCGTGGTTCCTCTGCATCGGCCTGAGCTCCTGGTTCTCGCCACGGGCGCCCTCCATCCTTCACAAGAGCGCGCTGGCACCGGGCGAGGAGATCCGCCCGCTGCTCAGCACCACGCGGTGTTTGCGTCAGAACCTCTGCCCGAAGGCGAGGGACGTCCACAGCCCCGAGGATAGCGCAGACGCGAGCGACGAGGTTCTCCTTGCCACGATGGTCGCCAGCTGGCTCCTAACCTACGCCTTCAACCCGGGGCGGATCCACGACGGCGAGCCAACGGTGGACAGGGGCGGCTACATCAGTTTTTGGGCCGGCTGGGACTCGGGGCCAGCACTCTACTTCGGGGCATCAGTGTATCCCTGGATTGCCTTCCTGCAGCTCGAGCACATGCGGCTCGCCACATTCCGCATGCGGCTCGCCACTTCAGACAAGCTTTTCCGGCGCTTTTGCGTTTTCCTGGCCAACATCTTCGTCGCCATTTGCTACTGCACCGGGGTCCTCATGTTCATCTTCCGTGACGGCAGGCCCGTCTACATGCATTGCGGCGCGATTTTCTTGCTCGCAGTGAGTGTGTGGCTGGCTTTCCTGACCAGCTTTGCGACGAGCGACTCGGTGACGCACCCCGCGGGCTCCTACGTCTTTCTGACCATCTTTGGAGCGTGCACCGCCGGATTCGTGGCTTGCGGGGCGATCCAGACCCTTGCATTCGACGCGGAGTTAGGGCGGGGCCCGGTCGACCCTCTGATCTGCAAGGCCTTCGACTACGGCTGGTGGTGGTGCGTCGCGGCTCAGCGCTTCCTCCGCCCCAGGGGAGCCCCCAGGATCATCTTCGAGTGCGAGCTCGTGGAGGACGACAACTTCTCCTTCTACGTCGTGGGGACGCCGCCCACGATCCACCAGCCGACTGCTCAGGACACCGAGGCGAAGCTCCGCGCGCGGGCTTGCAGGAGCCGTTTTGTTTGTTTGTTTGTTTTTGATTGTTTTGTTTCTCGGCGGCAACGGGTGCTACCAGGAGGGGGGGGAGCGGGCCAGTAACCTCACCATTCGCGCCAGGGCTGTGGCCATTCCCAGACGACGCGCTGGCGCAGATCGTGACGTGACCAGGGGGAAGGGACGGAGGGAGAGGGGACTCTTTCATAGGCTGTTTGCTTAGTTCCTTCACGCCTTTGCGGGCACCTCGTTTTTCCCAACCCTCCCTTGGTTGGGTTCTCGTTTTGAATAGAGCAGTGGGGTGCCAACTCCCTTCTTCTCCTCCTCCCGCCCTCTGTCCTCCTCTCGCCTGCCGGCACCTGCCTGCTTGCATCCCTCTTGGGGGCCGCGAAATGTGAAGCTGTCGCCATTTTCGAGGGCTCCCGGGGGGGACAGCATATCGTGGGTGCCGACGGCAGATTCAAATTAGACCTCGACGTCCCTGGGGGGCTGCGAAGTGTGAAACCATCGCCACTTTCGCGGGCTGCTTGGGAGGGCAGTATAGTGGGTGCCGACGGTAGATTCAAATTTGACTTCGACATCCCTGGGGGGCTGCGAAGTGTGAAACTGTTTCCATTTTCGAGGGCTGCTGTGGGGGGCCAGCATAGTGGGTGCCGACGGCAGATTCAAGTTAGACCTCGACATCCCTTTGGTGCTGCGAAGTGTGAAACTGTCGTCACTTTCGAGGGCTGCTGGGGGGGCTAGCATAGTAGATGCCGACAGCAGATTCAAATTTGACCTCGACATGCTGGGGGGGCTGCGAAGTGCGAGGCTGTCGCCACTTTCGAGGGGTGGGTGGGGGGAGGAGGGTCATCATGGTGACGCTTCTGCCGAGGTGATTGTTCTTCCGCCCTGATGTTTTCTTTATTTTTCCTCCTTCCCAGTGGAATGCCTCCTGGCCATTGTACCTCTGTCCTGCGAGTCGGCCACGCACACTTCGCACAATCTAGATATCCCCCGTGCATCCGTCTCTTGTAGTGTTGCTGTCGCACTATTGTCGGCACACCTAATACTTCCGTTGGTGCCGATGGGTTGGGTACGTTGCAGGGTAATTCCCATTTCTCTTTGCCCATCTTTCTGTCCGCAAGTGCTGGCAGATGAATGTGCTGACCACATCACCTAAATCGGTCTCAACGTCATGCCGTTTTTGAAGACCGTTCTGACCCTGCGACTCCAGTCGATTTATGTTTGCATAGCGCAACGTAGAAGGGAAGACAGGGAGGAAAAGGCGCGCGTCCCAGCAGCGGCTGTTATCGCGACTCGTTCAAAAAGCGCGCCCTTGTCGAATAACAGGAAACGGCGTAAACATGATTTCTTGGAGGTCCGCGCGGATTTCGTATCGGCGCGGGGCCCCAATGGCCCCGCCTCCAGCGGCACCCCTGGCGCGCTCCGCGCGCCAGTGGGGTTGGGCCCAGCGCCGATCCCAGAAATCCGCGCGGACCTCAGAGAAATTATGTTTACGTTTTCCTGTTTTCCTCCACCCAGGGGGTTTCGCGGCCCCGCTCCGCCTCCAGACCTCCCCAAGACCAGCCATGAAAGGGCGGCCTTTTGCTCAGACCCCCCGGAACCTTCCGAGACAGACGCTCTCCCACTTCCTTTTGAAGCCTGGGGTGCAAACTTTTCCGTTGGCGGCGAGGCTGAGGTAGCAGCACCAGCGAGGTGCTGAACGGGGGCGCCATTGTAGCGAATGGGCCAGCATGCACGAGCGCCTGGGGTACAAACGCGCGCTCCAGGGCCCTCGCGGCCCCGCTCCACCTCCTGCTCCTGCCGGCCACGCTCCTCGGCGCCCTCGCGAGCTTCGCTGCCGCGGTGGCCCGGCGCACCGCCGCCTGCCTCTGCCCGTGTTGCCTGCCCTCCCCGAATGCGGGGCGCACTGGCCCCGGCCAGCGCCCTGCCCCGGTGCCGAGAGGAAGAACGAAGACGACACCGACTCACCCTAAGATCTTGGCGCTGCTTTTTCCCAAAACGGGCGTTTCTTCTCAGTTTCGGGCCCTGGGACCCTCGCAGATCGACCTGGCTCGAAAAAATGGTGCAGAAAGATGGGGCCCAGGGCTGTGGTCGTGATTTTACGATGTTGCATGTTTGTTTGCAGCGCCAGATATGTGGGCAGATCTTCGACGGTATGATTGTTTTAATGCAGCATATTTTGCTCGATTTGGGCTCGAGGTGCGAGGTTCGAGTTGTGAGGCTCGAGGTTTTCGGCCGTTTCCATCGGTCCTTGGCGGTTTCCGACCCTCGGGGTACTCTCCAGCAGCTGCGGCTCGCCGAGGACGTTCCAGTGGTGCCCTGATCGTCCCGAACGCCCGCCGGAGGTCAGGCTTATAGCCCGAAATCAAATCTTGCCGACGATCTGATTTTTGTTATCTTGGCATTTATCTTCGAGTTCGGCCTCCAGGGCCCGTTATCGGGCCCAGGGGCTATCAGAAATGGATCCGGTGCGAAAAAGTAGCCTTGGGGAAGCGGTGGGGACTTCTGGGGCTGCGTACTGGGCAAGTCATGTCGGAGGATGTCTGGGGACACCGCTGCTCGTTCTGGAGAGCCTCGTCGCCACGGTTGGATCGTCCCCGAACTTCTGGTCAGAACGCACCCTGGAGGGGAGTAGTCCAAGACATCCGAAGTTTCGGTTTTTCCAATGCAGGGTCCCTGGAAGTCCCAACCCTTTCCCCAGGGCCTGTGTTTCATCCCAAGTTTTTTTTGATGGTCCTGGGGCCTGGGGAGGGCCCCTGGATGCCGAAAACGGCCAAAAACCTTCCGTCGTGATCTTCCACGGCGCGAGCATGCCTGGGGCGGCACCGGTGCCTTTTTGGTCCCCCTTGGTGCCGCGGGCGTCCCCCTTCATCGGGGACGCCTTGGGCTACTTCGCCTTTCTCTCCCGGGAGCTGGCGGCGCTGCGTGACGCCTCGGCGAAGGCCCGGTCTCCAGTGTGCACCATGAACATCGGCTGCCCCGCCGTGGCCTGCCTCGACCAGGCGAGCACGGAAGCCTTCATGAAGGGCGCGCGGGTCACGGAGGCAGGGCGCATCTCGATTCGATTCGATCGATTTGGTTCGATGTCGAGTTCACCGTGCTCGATCTGATGCGATCTCGGCTTCCCCGCGGCCCGATGCGGTCCTGATAGGGCACAGTGCACTTGTGCATCTGGGCGCAAGCTGATTCGATCCGATTTCGCCTCCGAGCCGATGCAGTTCGATTCGATGCCCGTCCCGATCCGATCCGGTGTCGCGGCTTGATGCTGGCCGATCCTGCAGAGGACACTCACCCTTTCCTCTTCGAGTTCCACTCGGACCTCTTCGAGGGGCAGAAGCCGAACTTCTGCCAGAAGGGCGAGGGGGCTCTGAGGGTGAGGAGGTTCCTCCAGTCCCTTACGCCGGTCTCCGAGAAGGACGCGCGCTTCCAGGAGGGTCTCGGTGCAATGGAGCAGATGTTGCAGAAGTGGGCGCTCGTCGAAGTGGATGGCCGAGCGGGCGACCTCGTGCAAATGGACCTGGAGAAGGCCACGCTTGACGTGATCCTCGCCTTCACCACCACGCTGTTCCTCGGCAGGACTCTGGACCCAGACCTCCTCAGGCCCCTCGGCCTAGACCTGCAGGTGCCAGGTGCGACCTTCACGCCGCACTACCCTTACATTCCCCGCCGGCTTCTGCCCTGCTACTGGGGCGCGAAGGTCGGCTACACGCAAGAGCGATCCTTCGCAGGAGTGCCCTTCGGTGCGGGCCCGGAGGGGCCCCTCTCAGTGACTCCCCAGCGCTGGCTTGCGCGCTTGGATTTTGCCCCACCGCGGCGCCCCACAGCCGCGCACCCGAGGGCACTCTTGCCCAGGGTCGCCCTTGCGTGCAGCCGAGAAGGCCGTCATGAAGGACGTCTGGAAGCAGATCAAGGCCGCCCCGCGGGGGCCGGACATCATGGCGAGGGCGCGCGAGGTGGGCCTCGCCGAGGACGAGGCTTGCGCCGCGCTGCTCATCGCCATGACCTTCAACGCCTTCGGCCTCTGCAACTCCCTCGTGAACGCCCTGCTCGTGCTCCAGGCAGTGTCCATTTGGATCCGATCGATCCGATTCGATGTCGATTCTGGCCGGCCCGATCCGACTCGGTTCTGGCATTCCGATGATCCGATGCGGTCCGATGCCTGCATGCCGCGGTCGTGCATCCTGGCGAAGCCGATCCGATTCGATTTCGATTCCGTGCCGATGCAGCCTGATCCGATGTACATTCCGACACGATTCGATTTGCCGATTCGATGCTAACAGATCGTGCTTCAGGCGCTGCCGAGGGGCGGGCAGGAGGTCCTCGAGGATGAGCCGCTCCTTGACAGCCTGGCCTGGGAGCTCCTGCGCCACAACGGGCCGCAGGTGACGACGGTGGCGCCCCGCGACGTCGAGATCCCCGCGGGACGCGAAGGCTCGCAGGGGTCTTGTCAGGGGCAGCGTTAGGGGGCAACGTTAGCGGGGGCAGGTTCGAGGCTCGAGATGTTTGGACGTTTTCGTCAGTTCTCGGAGGCTTTTCCAGCCTCGGGATGCGTTCCAGCAGCTGCGGCTCGCCGGGAGCATTCTGGGGAGACCCGAGTTATGACCCGAAAATCGAGGGCCAACGACAGGGGGAGAGGATAGACTCAGCTGGGGATGCGTCGACCCCCAATCGGCTATTCATCGCCGATGGGAGCCTGAATGACCTACCCTGCCCCAGGAACGCACGGATTCGCTGTCGATGGCCTATCCGCGAGGCGTCGGCGATGTATCGGCTATTCCAGGTCGATTTTTCTATTCCTGAGCCTGCCCGTTGCCCCTCACTGGGCTGTGTATTGTTGGTTCGACTAGCAACAGTTGCAACAGCTGCAAGTCCGCCTGATTACTCCAAGTCTGCATAGGTCGCGGACCCAACCTGGAGCAGCCAGACGGACTTGCAACCCACTTGCAAGTGCCTTGTGCAAATGGGTAGCGGCCACCTTGAAACTGCTGCAGGGCAGCCACCTTGCATCTTGCAACTGCTGCAAGTGGGTCATAGCGAGCACTGCACTAGCGGCAGTCCCGACTGGCCCCAGCAGGCCCCCCAGGATGGGCCGAGGTGGTCTCGACGCCCCTGCGCGGTCTCTGGCGGCGACCCTTGGCCACTCCGCGCCCCCGGGTCGGAGCGCCAAGACCTCCCCAGGCCACCTCCGATCAAACAGGACAACTCAATGAACATGCATCGCCGCGCCGTTTGTTCTGACGCACGGCCTTTCGTCTTGGGGAGGGCGCCTCGGTCACCAAGGTAAGCTCCGCCTCGGCCGCAGGGCTTGCCGTGGGTTCGTCACGGTGTCGGCGTCGTCCACCTGGGCGCGTTCAAAACAAACGGCGCGGCGACATGTGCGGCCCCAAGCAGCCTGAGAACACAGGCCAGCTGGGCCCCTCTCGTCGAGCGCGGCTCCATGAGCCCAGGCATCGCGATTCCTAGCCACGCTGGGCGGCAGCGCGTGGCAGGCAACCCCTTCGAGCGGGTGCGGAAAGAAGAGTGCGAGCGCGAGCGTTGTCCATAAACATGTTTTTGTTGGAGATCCGCGCGGATTCGTGGATCGGCGCTGGAGCTCTCGTACGGCGCCTCCGGCGCCGTCCCTGGCGCGCTTCGCGCGTGAGGGAGGGGGGTCCAGCGTCGATCCAGGGAATACGTGCGGACAGCCAACAGTTTATGCTAATCAAGTTTTCTCGTTATGCGCAGCATCCGTGTGGGCGTCTCCCGATGAATGCTGCTGAGGAAGCGTGAGCCAGGACGGGCAAATACACGTGTTTATACAGTTTCTTCTCCGACTTTCTCTTATTATTCCTCTTCCTCTTTCTCTTCTTCTTCTTCTTCTTACTCTTCTTCTACTTACTGAAGCCTGCCGAGGTCAGCCCAGACCTACCCCGGGTCCCGTTTCTGCGGAATCCCCTTGATCGGGCGACGTCAACGGACCATGTCATGGCGGCTCCTGGGTTCAGGACCGGTGCACACGCCCTGCTGGCTTGGCTTAGGGAGGCGTATGCACCGGTCCTGGGCCCAGGACGCAGACATCCGATGCCTCGATTTTTTCAGTGGGGTCCCCCTAAGTCCCGACCCGTTCCCCAGGGCTGGTTTTGCATCGTGGGCCTTTTTTGACAGCTCCGAGCAATCCATCCATTATTTTTTATATATATTTATATATATATATATATATATATTTCACGGCGCGAGCATGTCTGGGGATGGGCCCGGTCAGGTCTCAGCGAGGCGAGCAGCCGACACGCCGCCCAGCTTTGGAAGCCCCGCCCGGCGAAGGCCCCAGGCACCGCGTGAGGCGCGGCACCGTGCTCTACTCCCACCTCGCATACGCGCAGCGCGACGCGGCCGTCTACAGGAGAGTGTTTTTGTAAGGGTCCTGCGATAAGACGGGTTACCGGGCGCCCCCCCCATCCTCCCCGGCCTGGATCGCCTGACCTTGTCGCTCACGCGGGCATACATGGGGTTGCCCAAAGCGAAAGAAGCCAGGTTAGCGGCGGGCGCCTCCCTCCCCTCTGTTATCGCCGAAAAACAAAGAACTACTCCAGCGACCCGGACACCTTCAAGCCCGACCGCTTCTCTCGAGGAAGAGACAGCTGCATAGGCACAAACTTTCGACGCTCCGCGCGGGCTTCTTGGAGTGGTACTGGCGCTGGGACCCCCTTCCCCGGCGCGCGGAGCGTGCCAGGGAGGTCGCCGAAGGCGCCTCCAGGGGTGGCCCAGCGCCGATCCAAGAAATCCGCGCGGAGTTCCGAAAATCAATGCTCCCGTGGCATATTTTGATGCCTGAATACTGGGTTCACGGAAGTCCCGACCCTTTCCCCAGAGCCCGTTTTTCGTTCTGGGCAGTGATTCATGTTGACGATGCCTGGCGAAGGCCCCCAGAAGCAAGACATAGCGAAAAGCCCGTCGTCATGATTTTTGCACGACGCGAGGGGGTCCTGGGATCCGAGAAATCCGTGCGGAGTTCCGTAAGTTTGTGCTTATGCCGTTTTTGTCTTCCTCGACCCTCGCCCCTGCCGCCCCGATGCCTCCGGCACCGGTCCGACGAGGGCCAGGAGCCGCTGCCCACGCTCGGCTTCGGCTGCCCCCTGGGCTTCATCGACGACGAGGAGCCGCCGGCCCCTCCCAAGATCCTCTCGGGTCATGCACAAACACTTCAGAAAGACAATTTTCGGGTTAGGGGGATAGGGTTGGGAGACTTGATCAGATCATCAGTATTCTCGCGCATAGTGAAGGTGTTCATTACACAGTCGTACCCTGTATTTTCCCAACCCCTTCCATCCCATCGCGATCACTGTCTTTCCAAATTCTCAGCGTTTTTTTGGTGTTGATTTTCAGTTCTCGGATCCTCGGGGCCTTCACAGGGCACCAGGACCGTCACAAAACTTGTGATGGGAAACCGGTCCTGGGGAAGGGGTCTAGACGTCTAGACTTATGCTGCAGTGATCGCTGTGACTTGCAACAATTGCAGTGTGGTTGCAACCCACTTGCAAGTGGTTTGTAAATCCGCGTAGCTGCTCCAAGGTGGGTCCGCGAACTAATCAGATTTGGGAGCAGTGCGCAATTCATTGCTATGTGCACTCTTGCCGTTTCAATATCGAAGATGCCGAGAGGAGAGCGAATGCCATGGGAAACAAGAGAGACACAAGTAGCCATCGCCGAGCCTCGGCAAAGTCTGTTCGATCTCGGTAGCGCGGGCGCCCACCTGAGGGAGGGGTGGGCGCCACGGTGTCACTGACGCGCCGAAGAAGCTTTGCGGTCAGTGGCTTCTCCTCCTCCACTACTCCTCCTCCTCCTCCTCCTCCTCCTCCTCCTCCTCCTCCTCCTCCTCCTCCTCCTCCTCCTCCTCCCCCTCCTCCTGCCTCCTCCTCCTCCTCCTCCTCCTCCTCCTCCCCCTCCTCCTGCCTCCTCGTGCAACCTGTGCGCTCTCTCTCGGGAGCTGAGAACAGCGCAACTGTCGCCCCTGTCGCGGGCTCCTGGGAGGCACGGCGGAAGCAGTAGTCATGCGAGACCTCGCGGCTCCCTGGGAGACTGCCAACTGCGCAACCGTCGCCACTTCCGTGGGATCCCATGAGGTGCAGCGGAGGCGGTGGTCATGCGAGACCTTGCGGCTCCATGGGGGGCTGCCAGCTGCGCAGCCGTCGCCACTTTCGCGGGCTCCCAGGAGGTGCAGTGGAGGCGATAGTCACGCAGATCCAGGCGTTCATATACGTAGTCGCCTCGCGTGGTGAAGAGGTTGGGTACGCTTCGGGTAATTTTCAATCGGCGGCCCCAGCCAGAGGTCCAGACCCTTTCCCCGGGGGCCAGTCTTGCGTCCCAGGCCCGTTTCTGATGGCAGAGCCCAGTGGCGGTCCCAGGAGGCCCACATTGAGGAAAAGCCGCCAGTTTGAGCAATCATTTCGCCGGCGGTCGGGGTTTTCAGGCCATATAGTTCTGGTCTTCGGCGGCCGTTCGGGAGGATCCGGGCCCCCCAGGAACGCCCTCGGCGAGCCGCAGCTGCTGGGGAGCGCTCCGAGGCTGGGAAATCGCCGAGAATCTAAAACATTGCAGAACACCTCTCACACCTCGAAGCACCTCGAGCCTCGAACCCACGTCGAG